GATATTATCAAGCTAACTCTAAAATTATACTTAGAAAGGAGTTCTAAGACAATTATTCATTATTACATGCCATCCAAAGTGACATTTTAAAAGCTACGAGAACAAATCACTGTTACCCTCTTGGAGATTTAAGATAAAGAGCTGATAATGAAACACAAACATTTATAGTATAATTGTCTCAGGAATACATAAATATTTGGCTGTATTTATTGGTTTGGAAAGTAGCCTTTCAGAGTTCATTATCAAGATTTCCCTTCAAGAGACTGACTATTGTCCAGCAAAACAAAAATTGAAATTACTCTTTCCTTGTAAATCTTTCAATGTGTAAAAGAAGAAAGACAATGAAGAAATTTTTGAAAGACTTTTCAGGGGACATATTTATACGTGAAAGTGTCACACTGAATAAAGTTTTAACATGACTTATTTTAAGAAACAAAAATAATCTCATGCCCTTGTCACATAATAAAAAATATATATATTTATTTCTTACCTCTGAATTTTTTGGGAGGGTTGGCGAGGTCTCCCGCCTCCGGGTGCACAACACATCTGTCATCCACTAACCTAGAAGACAAAGCATGTTGACATTGATAACCTCGTCATGTTCATAAAGCACAGACTTCCTGTGGCTACTGTATAAATATTTACAAAGAGTATGAATACCATTTTTCACTAAGAAACTTTTTAACAATCATAAATTTGTAAAAAGATTTTGTTATAAAGATACTAATTAAAGCAGGGTTTATCAAATTGAAAATTTTGGTTAAGTGGAAGGAAACCGGTTAGGTAAATCATGATATAGACAAATGATAGAACACTGTAAAGCTATTTAAAAGTTTATTTTTAAAATGTACTGGCCTGCAAAATATTTATAATATGTTTATGAAAAGAAGTGGTAACAAACCAACAAGATATCATATATATTTAAACACACACCCACACACCCTCTAAACATACACATATAAGGAATGGAACACAGACACCAAAATAATAACAGTGGTCAGATTACATAGTTTTGATTTTCCTTTATTTTTTTCCTGTGTGTGTGTTCAGCGGGGTTTTTTGTTTGTTTGTTTGTTTGTTTGTTTTTTAACAAGGAATGTGTGAGCTCAGGAGATCAGGCTCACAGAAGGACCATAAAATGGGTGGTAATGAGAAATCCTGCATTCAAACCCTGGGTCAGCCACTTCCTAGCTGGGTGACTTTGAACCTCCTTCTTTACACCTGTATAATAAAAGATACCTACCTTATAGCATTGCTAGGACAATTAAATGACCTAATATCTCTAAAGAACCTAGTATAGTTTCTGGCACATAGTAAGCCTTTAAGTAAGTGTTTAATAGATAAATAAAAGTCAAGGAATGTGGGGCGCCTGGGTGGCTCAGTTGGTTAAGCATCTGCCTTCAGCTCAGGTCATGATCTCAGGGTCCTGAGATCGAGCCCCACGTCTGGCTCCCTGCTCAGCGGGGAGCCTGCTTCTCTCTCTCCCCTCTCCTCATCCTCTCTCTCTCACTCTGTCTCTGTCTCTCTCAAATAAATAAAATATTAAAAAAAAAAAATCAAAGAACTTGCCTGCCTTATTTCTTAACATACAGTCTGCTTCTAGAAGAATGCCTGACACATACTAGGTACTCAGTGAATATTAATCAAATGAATAAATCACCCTTATAGTTACAAAAACATATTTAATTCCTATTAAAATATTCATTAGAAGCCAATTTCTGGGACAATACCAAGAGAGAAGCTCAATCTCTCACCTGAGAGCCAGGAGACATGAACCTCCTGTTCAAAGAGAATATCTAACTACCAAACCTTATTCACTAATATTCATTTTCTTCTTTGGCTAAGTGGTAGGAATAACTGGATTTTTTCCAGGATATTGTGAGAATGCATGTGAATTTCTTCTAAATTTATGAATTCATTTGAAAGGAGGTGCCTAAGTTGCAAAAAACAAACAAAAAAAACACACAATCAAACAAAAACCCATATAACCAGAATCACTAGTACGCATCAACTCAGCACTGAGTAAACCCCAATTTGTGATCAAATGTCCCCTTGAATTAGGATAACTAACTAAATCAAAATGAAACTTTTGGTTCTTGATTTATCTGGTTACCAAAAGCAGACACTTCCTAAATCACCAAATTTTTCTATGGTGTCCAATTTCCACAAAACAAAATGCTAACTTGGTCGAGCAATATGGTTCTTTCTTTGATTTTTTTTTTCATATATACTTCATTCACACTGGTTTACTAACATGTGGTTTTACAAGAGTTGCCAAGCATGTAAGATATTCCTTTTAAAAGTCTTTAAAACTGTTTTTCTTAGAAACAGGAAGTCAAATTGGGTCAAGAGAAAGTAAACCCAAACCTCCACAATGTCCAGCTTCAGCCTAGAACACTGAATGTGAAAGGCTCAGAGAGTCCTGAGAATGTCACAACATAATACTTAATTTTTCTTAAGTGCTACGAATTAAGTCAGCTCTTCTAATTACTTAAGACATGTTAAGAATTCAAAATATAACCATCAAAACAACCATAATCTTTTTTAGAACACATAAAAATTATATGAAAAGCAGCATTGATGTTCTACGCATTCTTTGTGCCTACCCATCCCCCTGAAATACAGACCCCCACTATAAAGCCCACTAAGAGTCCCTACCTGCATGGGTTAATCATCAAGAGGAATGGGAAAAACTGAAGCTATAAATCAGATCACAGTGCATTTATGTAAACACTTATGCCTCTCCTCAATTACATGATAGCCCAGATTAAAACATAATAACTAAGAATGACTTCAGTTCTAAGAATTGGTCCTATTCTTTATAGACAAACATCTGTGAAAATCACAAAATCATTCCGTCATACAGACTTAAATAATTGCAAATGAAAATGGAAGAAAAGGAAGGACGGGATAGGAAGGGGGAAAAAAGCAAGGAGTGTGAGTCTGTTACAAAGACATAGACCATCATTGATGCTAAAGGCGAAGCAGGATTTTAATAGCAGTTATTGGCACAATGTCTTCATTACTCCCACAGCCCCTTCTTGAATACCTCCAAGGTCAGAGTAGTCATCATTTACCATCTTCCTGATAGCATGAATATCAGAGAGGTGTTTTATATGGAGTGGAAATAGCACCCTGTGTTTCCCATTACTGCCCTTATCCCATTTTCATTAAACTGCCTGCTTAATTGTCTGGATCTTCCAGTAAGTTACAGCTTCATGAAGTCAGGAACTGAATCCATCTTGTTTACTATTATATCTTTGGCAACTTCGAGCATGACTTATAGTAAATATTAAATATCTGTTACATGAATAAATTAGTCAGTGAGTAAAATGAGACTTGCTTCCCAAATAACTTTCTCTTTTTAGTCCCAGTTCTTTCCTCTGGAACTATGTACACTAAGTTTTCTTTTTCTGGGATGAATAAGACTATTTCTCTCCAATTCTTTCTCATATGGATATTTTTCAGGGAGCTCAACATCTTTTCATACACCCCAAGCGTCAACATCCCCCTTAAATATGATCCTAGACTATCCGCATGAGTCCAGATAGGCCCTCCAACGAGTCCTCCACAGGGGACTCTTGCCTCCTTCTTTCTGATACAATGCTTACAGTTATGTGTCCTAAGGTCATGGGAGCTTCCGTGGCAGTCAGGCCCACCTCTGACTCTCAATGGGTTTATAGCTAAACAACAACCCCAGGTCCTTTCCATGTGTCCTGCCATCAGTACAGGCAGGCTCTCTCACCCATCACTGGAGCAGTTAACTTTTATGACCTAAGGACAAGAATTTGCAATTGAATAGGGATTAATACAAAGTTCAACCTTTGGCCTATGGGCAGAAATTATCTAAAAACCATTTATCCCATCCCTAGCTAGCTCATTAAGAGACCCTGCCGTGATTACTGCCCACGTTAATCACTCATACACAGTATTTTCTAAACTTGGCTAATTGGCTAGACCATGTGGGGAGTTAAAATAATAATCATTACCATAATACTAACAACAACAGCAAGTTTCTTTGGTCCAGATCTACAGAATCAAAATTTCTGGGGATCAAGACCAAGAATCTGTATTTTTTAAAAATCTCTCCAGGGGCGCCTAGATGGCACATGCGGTTAAGCATCAGACTCTTGGTTTTGGTTCAGGTCGTGATCTCAAGGTCATGAGATCGAGCCCCACGTGGGGCTCCACGCTCCTTGCCAAGATTCTCTCCTGAGAATTTTGAGAGAATCTTGAGATTCTCTCTCCCTCTGACCCTCCTGTACTCTCTCTCTCTCTTTCTCTCTCAAATAAATAAATAAATCTTTTTAAAAATCTCTCACCTTCCTTAAATGGATCAGGAGTACCTGTTCTGCATTCCCATAGTACTCTAGGCTATCCTCTATCAATAAAACTTATCACACTCCATCATAATTTTTTTATACATTGGTCTCTAATGCTATAAATTATAAGTCCCAAGAGAGATCATTTCTGTTTTGCTCACCATAATATGCCCAACTTTAAGCATTAGGCCTCAAACATGGAAGGTGCTAAATAATTATTGAGTGAATGGGTGTCTTTTTGAATCACTTAATAAGTCAATAATGCTATTTTTGGTAAGTCATAGAAACAGTAAAAATAACTGGAACCAATAAACAGTTGCCTGAAAGTAGATATAAGGAAGGGGTGGACAACATTTCCCATCCAGATGTGTTTCAGAAAATTATCAAAAATATCAAATCCTGAAAGAGGCCAAGATAGCCTATTTTAAATAACTATAACTCATATAGCCCCTTTCAACCCAATAAAAAAATCTCAAAGACATAAAGTTGAGCTTAAAAGAAGCAAGTCCCAAACTAGTAAATGCTATATAATTCCGTTGATATAGAAGGCATAAATTGGCAAAACTAAATAGTAGCTATTTTAGAAATATGCATGGAGTATAAACAAATTATTGTATAAAAATACATGGCTATCAGATTTTTTAAAAGATTTCCAAAAGAAAGCAAATTATCCTTTGATCTCTAGTTCCTTATTATTCCACCAACTGCAAAGAAAAATGTCACATAGTAGGTAAAATATGTTAATCATGTGAATAAAGGGAAATCTTTCAAAAATGGAGTAGGGAGGACAGAAGGGGAGATTGGAAGAGGAAGCCATACCACTCAAGGTCAGTTACATGAAGAACTGTCAATTACAGACCCCAACAAAAAAAAAAAAAAAAAACATCAACAGGAAGAATCATCAATTACAGGCCCCAAAAAGGAAAGATGTATATAGTGCATCTTCTATAAGAAATCAACCACCCTTGAAACTCAGCCATTGAGAAACTATCATCACCCTGGACTCATGCTTTTTTCCAATGGACTTTCCTTCAAAACCATCCCTCTCAACTTCTTCCTCCTTCTCCATAAAATAATGGTCCTCTCCTTTGTTTGTTGGACTTGCCTATGGTTTTGCCACAGCCTGCTTGACCCAAATTGCAATCCTCTGTTATTCCCAAATAAACCCAATTTTGCTGATAAAAAAACTTTTATTTTTAAAGTTAACAATCGTTATCTTTTTCCTTCAGAAACCACAAAATAAACTATTTCTAGTTTGAGTACTTTGTAAAATAAGTATATTATTTTCCTGATGTTGGCCTACCATGTGTATCTGATCCTTGTACCATTAAGTGATATAGTTCATTTCCAATGAAATCCACTCTGAAGCACATTTAAACAAAAGGAATTTAGGGCGAAAGAGAAAGTGGGGAATCCACAACGGATATTATCAAAAACGTGTACTAAGAAAGGGGGTTAGGATTGTGGCTAGGTTCATAAGCATGATGAAATTGCCCTCAGGACACCTGGGTGGCTCAGTCCCTTAAGCGTCTGCCTTCGGCTCAGGTCATGATCTCAGGGTCCTGGGATCCAACCCCGCATCTGGCTGGCTGCTCAGCAGGGAGTCTGCTTCTCCCTCTGCCTGCCGCTCCTCCAGCTTGTGCTCCCTCACTCACCTGCTCTTGCTCGCTCTCTGACAAATAAATAAATAAAATCCCTTAAAAAAAAAAAAAAAAAGGAATTGCCCTAAAAGTACTTCCAGAACTTGACCACAAATAACTTTATCCCCAAATCTGGGTTCACTTTGCTGGCCATATAAATTTCTCTCTTAAATTCTGCAATCGTCTGGCGGCTCACCTAAACTATCCATCCTCCCCACAAAACCCCACCACCTGCCACCCCACAGCCCCCACAACCCTGGCACCTATTCACCTCCCTCTTTCACCTTCATTTAGAAGCAACACTAGAACAGAAGAAAAAACAAACAAACTAAGTTTGAATCCTTGGTCTGCCACTACAAAAACAGCTGTATCTGCGCTGGTCCTTTAACCTCTCTGTACCTTATTTCTTAAATGGGGCAGTTGTGATCTCACAAGTTCCTTCTTTTTCTGTTTTGTTTTGTTCGTTTGTTTTTTTCATTTCTTCTATTTTGTTATTAGAGCTGGCTTGTGGTATCATTCCCCAATAGCAAAATGACATAATATTTTCAGTATAGTGTGAATGTTTAACTGTTTAGTATCAATGTTTTTAAGTTGATGTATTATTTTATGATTCCAAGCAAAGTATAAGTATGTGATTTTGTTCTGTTCCCTCATCATTGTCTTAGAACGTGGTGTCAAAAGATCTTAAGATCTTGCCATTTAGTAATATGGACATTTTGTACTTATAGGACTCAAGTTGCCCAAGTAAGGAACAAACCTCAAGCCTATAGATTCTTGTTTGTATGCCTATTAATTTGTCTCATAATTCAGAGTAACTGAACAGGAAATTCCTCAGATGTCCAATTTCATACCTTATAACTGATAGGTCTCACAAACATAATCCCTGCACAAAGCCATAAGCAATTCAAATCATGCAAAGAGAGAAATAACCATTGCCAAAACTTGCTGCCAAAAAGTGTTCTACTTTATAAATGCAAAACAGATGCAACATACCAAATTCACTCATAGCTATATTCCTACTTTGCCTGTCTATAAGGACAAGAAGAATTAATTTCACTTTTGTTTGCCATTTGAAATGTGGGGTTTCAGGCGCCTGGGTGGCTCAGTCGGTTAAGTGTCTGCCTTTGGCTCAGGTCACGATCCCAGCGTTCTGGGATCAAGACCCACATCAGGCTCCTTGCTCATCGAGAAACCTGCTTCTCCCTCTGCCTGCCGCTCCCCCTGCTTATGCTCTCTCTCTCTCAAATAAATAAATAAAATCTTTAAAAAAAAAACTAAAAAAAAAAGGCTAATGTTCTCCTTAAAAAAAAAGAAAAAGAAATGTGTGGTTTCTAAAAATTAAACCAATAAAATTTAACAGTATCTTCTTTTATTTTCTCCTTTTAGATTTCTTACTACAGTAACATTTTTTACTAACAAATATTTTAAGTTTAAATATTAAAAGTATGCTTAATTCCATATTGAAGTATTTCAGTCATACACAGGTTGGTGGCTGCTAGTACTTCTAAAACTGGTTTCTTCCAAAGTTGAAATTGTGCTTGCTCTTAGGTCTTTAAAATGTCTACAGTTATTTTTCCATGAAAAAGACAAAATCAACTTAAATCACATATAACTTATAGCATCAACACTAAATGTTGAAGTACTACTGCACGGAAACCCCTAAAAAACTGGATGAAGCCTTGTGTTTTAAGTTTTTCAATGATTGCTATCACTTAGCCTGAGTGACTTAAAGACCTTTTAAAAAGGACGGTATCATGTGGACTCCAAAGGCAATGACGTCTTGCACATATTAACCTTTTTAGAAATCACTGCAAGAAGCCATCATTTTGTGAAGCAATTATCTTCAGAGCACAGATGCTGATGAAACTGGAGAGAGGGGGGAGAAGATGGGAGGATACTAAGTTACATGTTGCCTTTCAAAGAGAAACCTGTACCTGACTACGATTTCAGAGAGGATTTGTCCATATATTTTGAAAGCTTCAAGCCCTAACCCACTTTTTCTTCTCGGATCTTCCGAAGTTCTGCATCTAACTTCCTTTCCTTGATCCTCTCTCCCCTGCCTCCTTGACCTCTTGGAATCCAGTAATGTTCCAAATCAGTTTGTACAGCATTTTCTCCTAGTCTGCCTATTACTGTTTTCATAAAAGTCAAAAGCATTTGCAAAATGCCTTCCTCAGGATATGAATGAGCATCTCCACCAGTTGAGATCAATTATTTAGTGATGCTGCGTTGACCTTGACTACTATCAGTTCTCAATCATCTGCCAAGAGCTAGAAAATCATTGGCACTGGTAAAAGTGACTCACGAGGCAAAGTTCAGGTCCAGATGTTTACTCCTATCAGATTGACATTCCTTTCTAAGTTTTGGCCACCAAGACCAATTTGGCACCATTTTGGAGGTGTTCTCAGGAAAAAAAGCCATAAAATGGAAAACTCACCCTAGCGACACTCTTTTCCTCCAAGTGTAGACAACCTACCCTACCCCAGGTTTCTACTGCTTTTGGTCATTCACACCTTCACATAGTTTTTAAACTTTGTCCAGAGTTTATAACTGTGATGCTGTAGATTAAATTCAAAGAAATATGAGCTCAAAAATTTTTTAAATCACTAATAAGACAAGGCAACAAACATGCATAAGCAAAAACAATAGTGTATTATCAACTGAAAAATATAAGGTAACTATTATGAATGTTTTAAGACAAAACGGGGCACCTGGGTGGCTCAGTCAGTTAAGCATCTGACTCTTGATTTCAGCTCAGGTCATGATCTCAGGGGCCTGGGATTGAGGCCTGAATCTGGCTTGTTACTCAGCGAGAAGTCTGCTTAAGGATTCTCTCTCTCCTTCTCCCTCTGCCCCTCAGAATGAAATAGTCCCATGGTTCTGAATTACACACAAATGAGTTAAAATATCAATTACCTTTATACTTTCTTTTTTTTAAGATTTTATTTATTTGACAGAGATACAGTGAGAGAGAGAACACAAGCAGGCGGAGTGTAAGAGGGAGAAGCAGGCTCCCCGTGGAGCAGGGAGTCCAATGCGGGGCTCGATCCCAGGACCCTGGGATCACGACCCAGGCCAAAGGCAGACACTTAACGACTGAGGCACCCAGGCACCCACCTTTATACTTTCTTAAGTATGTAGAGTATAATTTTTTTTAACTACTGAAACAACAGAAACAGAGTATATAAATACAGAAGGAATGGAAAGAGAAGAAAGGAATAAAAAGAAAAATAAGCAAAACTTTAAAAAAATTTAAGAAACAAAAAAAAGAAAAATAAGCAGAACAAAAAAATTTTAAGAAAAAAGGAAAAATCAGGGAAAAGTTATGATTAATATAAGGCACAAAGTAAGAGGATATAAATAAGTCAACAATAATCATAATAAATTTAAATTTTTAACTTACCATTTAAAAGACAGACTCCCCCCCCCCAAAAAAAGCAGATTTTTGGACTGGATAAAAAAATCCAACCAACATAATTATAAGAATCATCCTAGAACATAAGTATAGAAAAAGACATAACAGGGGCGCCTGGGTGACTCAGTCGTTAAGCGTCTGCCTTCAGCTCAGGTCATGGTCCCAGGGTCCTGGGATCAAGTCCCGCATCGGGCTCCCTGCTCAGTGGGGGTCTGCTTCTCCCTCTTGCACTCCCCCTGCTTGTGTTCACTCTCTCGCTGTGTCTCTCTCTCTCAAATAAATGAATAAAATCTTTAAAAAAAGAAAAAGAAAGGAAAAGACATAACAGAGATATACTAATCAAAACAAAGCTATGGTTGCAGTGATAATATCAGAAAAACAGACATTAAGAAAAAAAGCATTGGGGCACCTGGGTGGCTCAGTCAGTTAAGCATCTGCCTTCAGCTCAGGTCCTGATCTCCAGGTCCTGGGATGGAGCCCATGTTCGGCTCCCTGCTCAGTGGGGAGTCTACTTCTCCCTTTCCCTCTGTCCCTCCCCACCCCCAAAACTCATGCTCGCTCGCTCTCTCTCAAATAGATAAATAAAATCTTCAAAAAGGAAGAAAAGCATTATTCCGTATACATAGGGCTATTATATAATGGGAGGCGTTTTAGTTTGCTAACAAGATATAACAATTCTAAATTTAAGTGTAATAGCCTCATATTATATAAAACCAAACTTATAGAACTACAGGGAGCAATTAACAAAGACATTATCATAGTAAGAGATTTCAACACACTTCTCAACTAGTGATAGGGCAAACAGACAAAATTTGGTAAGAATGCATGCCTTGAAACCCATAAATAACAAGCTTGACCTAATGGGCATATATAAAACATGTTAACTCCTCATGGAAACATATAAAATTCAAAAACTGGAGAAACTATTTACTTTGGGCATATATGGAATATGAATATACCAGGTCCCTCAACTGTTTTCAGATTACTACACATGGTTTTCATATTTCTACTATATTTGTAAAATATAGCTTAAATTTACAGGTTTTTAAAAATATTATTCTCTTGGCTCATAACACACTCATGTTTAGCTAAAAAGCCCATGCCCATCCATCCTTCAGAGGCAGAGGGTCTCCTTCTATGGTCTCACCATATTTGATATGCACCCTCATAAGCTGATATTTATTACTATTCTACTTCTAAGCTACAATGTCTCTAATAAACAGTGAGTTCCTTGAGGACTGCAAGAGGAGTATATTTTTTTACATTCATTTGCTTATTTATGCAAGTAATCTCTACACCCAACATGGGGCTCAAACTCATAACCCCGAGATCAAGAGTTGCATGCTCTTCCAACTCAGCCAGCCAGGTGCCCCTTGCAGGAGTATATTTTTAATCTTTACATCCTCACTATGTAGCACAGTGACTAGCATGTAATCAGTACACAAAAAATAATTCAATGACTGAATGGATCAGGAAGGTCAAGAAACCAAATTGCAAAAGACAAAATGAGGTTGATGATGATATAGCAGAAAGATCATAGGCAGGAAAGATGAATAAATATGTGATAATGATAAAACTAACTGTTCATCCTTGGCTCATCCCCTCAGCAAATCATATAGTAACATTTAATTATACATTCTAGAAGTGGATGGCTAAAAGAGACCTCAAAGAGTAAACCAATCAGTAAG